TATATATATATATATATAATTTATTTTACGTCTCTATCTTAAACGGCCCTGTTCACAACCAAGATTCCTTTCTTTCGTCTTGAAAGATGCTTTTTGTAATTAGTTAACGACTAAGGAAAGCTATAGCCAGGCAGTTTTTAGATGTGAACCTTATGGTGCGCAATCATGATTAACTCTCTTCATAAATTTATATAATATGATGTCGGCTGTAAAAAGAAATAGTCGGGCTTCAACCTAGCCTTCCAGAAATGGGGTTTCCTTGAAATTTCTTCCCTTCAATTTCTACGCAAAACTCGAGTATCGTATCTGAAGTCCAATTCTACGTCAGAGTTTTCCATTTTTGGGGTTCAAAAACCGTGTCACAATTTCAAAATGATCAATTTACGCAATTGGACTCCATCATAAGACCCGTACAGGACAGACAACTTTTGAAATGAAGGAATTGAAAGTGAAAGGGACGGAAGGAGCAATTGCGCTTCATGTAAATCCATCTTCACTTTCTGCCAAGTGTAGTCAATGTTCATGTAATGTAATGTATGGCAGGTGGAAGCAACTCGCTCCCTGCCAACAAGGCTATGATATATATATATATATATATATACACACACACACACACACATATATATATATATGACAGTAACTTCGCTAATCAAGTACTGTTACAAGAATTAAAAGTAATGATAATTAATATTCTTGATTTACATGAAATATTGTCTACATGCACTAATATATATATATATATATTTTTAAAAATTCTAATTCCATATAATTTTTTTTAATCTTGTTTTAAACACACTCTTAAATTACGTGATTGTTAGTGATCAACAATGTTTGTGATGATGATGATCGATCACTATAAGAATCTATTTAACTTATAAAGGTTTTTTTTTTTTTCTCTTTGTAATTTGTAGATATGAATTATATATTTTATTTTAAAAAACAAATAAGCACATGGAAATGGAGCTAATTCCTCTTAACGTTAAGTACCATGGTGGATACGAAACCATTAGCAGCTAAATTAATAAGAATTGGATGTCTCTCCCAAAAAAATTAAAAGTAATTATAAGTGTTCGTTTATATGAGTGAAATTTTTATAAAAAAAAATGTAAAATAAAAATTGTCCCCTTTCATATATTAATTATAACGTTTGACCGGCTCCTTCAAAAGGGGCAATTTTCATTATGGAGGTTAATATATATAAGAGAGGCAGTGGTTATTATAAGGGGCAATTTTGAACTTATCCCTTCACAAATTTACTCTGGATTTACCTCGTTGTTAATCAGTTAAACATAGTTGAGATGCGCTAATATTCTGGATTACAGTTGAGCAAACGTTAGACTATTCGCAATGTTAATTTTAAAGTTGAGTCTAATTATAATCAATAATGCTTGAGATTCTATCAATAAAAATATAACAACTCAGACGCTATATTAGTTAGTGCAAGATTTGAATTGATGTCCTTAGTATTTCTCAATTGTAATAGCAAAAAAAAAAAAAAAAAAAGCATACTTTTTGTGCATAAACAATAATTTAAGTAAATTAATTACTACGTGGCAAAACCCTATAAGCTGAGTAGCTGTGGCATATGATCCGGCTGGGTCAAATACTTAATAGCTAAACTACTACCGCTGACTCAACGAAGGTCATGTAGTTTTGTCACGAAGCTCATCCAAACAAATAAATAAAACAAATAAAGTTATATATTTAGATCCCGTTCATTTTACTATTTAACTTTAAAATTTAAGTTTTATTACAGTAAAAAAATTTTAAAAATAATCACATTTAATTTTTTTATTACAGTAAAAAATTCTCATATAAAATAACATATCAATTCAAATTAAAAACTCAAATTAATAAATTAAACCGACTTTTATTATACACACACTCTATATATATATATATATATATATATATTACGTATAAATATCATTTTCCTCTGGAACATGCCTGCCATGATCATGATATCTGGTACCTTCCCATGCAACTTCGTGGAAAAGGCGACTCTCTAAAGACGTGAAATGGCTTAAAAGAAGGAAAAAAACAAAATTTAAATCCCCGCCAACAACCTCCGCTCCAGGAAGCAAATTCCTTTTATGATCTGTACCTTTTGTTCACATCCAATTCAACCTCTCTTTCCTCGAAAATTTCCTCGTATATATCCCAACAATTACTACACATATCCTTTTTGTGCACGTATATAATAGACCCCCAACCAAGCCAATTTTTTCCACGAAACTATTTCCCGGCCTTTCCGCAAGTCCAACTATATTATAAGGAAGCTTTCTACGTACGTACTCTAAAATTTTTTTTTCCTCATCATGGCGTTCCAAAACGGCCGGGTAATGTTCGAGGATTTCTTTCCGACGATGATCGAAAAGTTGGGAGCGGAAGGGTTCGTGAAGGAGCTGTGTAATGGCTTTCGTTTGTTAATGGATGAAGACAAGGGAGTGATCACGTTTGAGAGCTTGAAAAGGAGCTCGGATTTGCTTGGTTTGCAAGGCTTGAGCGATGAAGAAGTAACGTGCATGCTTAAGGAAGGTGATTTGGATGGAGATGGAAACTTGAATGAGATGGAGTTTTGTACTCTCATGTTTAGGTTAAGCCCTGCCTTAATGCAAAGCTCCAACGAGTTGTTGAAGGAAGCTTTGAATAAGAATGGTGATGTTTAATCATATTAATCTCTAGTTTTTTTTTTTTCTTTTTTTTTTTTTTGTGTTTTTTCTTTTGATCTGTTTTCCTTTTTCTGGTAAGGTCTCGTATTGTCCGAGGACATCTTTTTATCTTCTTTGATCTATTTTTTTCCATGGGTCCTTTGCCATTCTTTTGTATTATGCACTTTGGAGAAAGAAGAAGGAAATTTAACTATCGCACGAAAACAAAATTAATTGGATATTATTCAGTCGTGATTGAAAATAAAAACAACACAGAAAGAAGACTACAGATATAACGTACAATCACGATGGTTAAATGTGTCAACTTCGATCTTAATTTGACTTATCTTCACGAATTGCCATTTCGCCAACATGATTTTGACATGGAAAAAATTCGAGGAACAAGATGACCGAAACTACCTAGCTAGCCTTTCATGCATCTTTTACATCATTGGTGTCTATATTTTTATTTAAATTTCTCGTCTTATAAATTTGATTTTGGAAGAAAGTTTAGTAATTCGGTCATTAATATATGTAGCCAATTTTTACGAAATATGTAATATGGATGTGGAGTTCAAACAACTTTAATGTGCCATTTGAGTATCATGATTTACGGAGAAAGAAATCCAAAATTGGGTCTAACTGCTTCAAGGAAGATGCTAAACATAAAAGATTTTATCATTTTCGCCCAATAACGTGTATTGCATAGTTCATACGGATCCAGATGATCATATCACAACAATGGGTTGTTATGTATTTTTGGTAGGAGACGTAAAAGCTATTTTCAAAAAGCATAAAAGAAAAAAAAAATAACATTTAAAATTTTCTAATAAGTAATAAAATTAAATACCATAATGAAGTTTGTAACATCATTTTGAAGCTAGATATAATAAAGTTTTCTCAAATTAACTTTTTAAAAAGCCACATTTCTGGCTTTATAACTGTAAGCTCTTTAAAAGGCCATAAAGCTAAGCTGCTTTCAATAAGCAATGCCAAATTAACGTGCCAAATAACTATATTGGTAAGAGGTTCTAATGCTAAAGAGCTAAAGCATGGTCCTCAAAGTTAGAGAATAGCTGAAGCCATAATTGGTACAAAAAAATGTAAAATTTTCATATTCAATGCCCCAATATATAATATCGTTTCAAATGATTTATTTACTTTTTTCATAAATTTATACCTTGGAACTTGTAAACAAACTGAATTTTTCAATAAATTAAAAGTAGAATCGTTGTATTTAAGTAAAAAAAAAAAAAATCAACACATTAAGCATTAATAACAAACCAAATGCAAAAATTTGGCGTGTATATGTTACATTTGGTGTTAAATTTAGCTTACGATGTAACTAATTTTTTCAATATTTTGTTTCAGTTTTTATTTTTGATTTTTTTTACTAATTTGAACTTGAAATAGAGCTATTCCCATCTTCAATAGCAATTGCAAAACTATAAAAAAAAAAATCAAAATAAATTGTTAAAAAAAAAGAATGGGACAATATTTCTAAATTGTTTAAAAAAAAAATAGTGGGACATTATCAGCTTACTCCATATAATATGGATCTGAGGCCATGGGCCAAAACCAAGCCCATCACTTGAGAAATTAGGGCCACTATATTCCATCACGGCCCACCTACATGGTGCCTTTATTTTAATCTTTAGTGAACCAGGGAAATTTACCCCATTGTTGGGGGTATAAGAATGTTGTTTGGAGTTTAGGGTCAATTAGTGAATGGCTGAATATATGATAAATTAGATAGTTACCCACCTTGAAATACCAAAACGAGTGAGTTAGACATATGGCATAATGCTAATTATGTTGAAATATAAATAATAATAAAAAACTTTAGAAACTTTATAGATATAAAACATTAAAATCATTATTATAATTACTACATAACTTTACTAATTCCTAAATATATATATATTTTTTTTAAAATGTTATATTTCAATTAACTACATTTTTATAAACATACTATAAATTCGACAATCAAATTGATGATATATTTACGGTAAATTTACCTTATAAGTAATAAACTCGACGATGGAGTGAAATTAAAGAGAGAAAAGTATGTTGAGAGCGAGAATAAATAAATAAAATCACATGACCTTTGAAACTAATCTACGTTATAAAGATAAAAATAGGCCATTTGCTACAATTTCTCCTCTCCCCATTTTTATGAAGAACGAAACGTACACCATCCATATAGAAATCCCCACTTTTCTTTGTGTCTTATTTTATTTTATTTTATTTTTTGTCCCTTCTGAAAAACGATGTTCTATGAGTACACTATACACATATGACACCAAAAAAGAAGGAAAGAACCAGATTCTTTTTGCGTCTCGAGTAAATAGTTGATTTAGGTAGAAAAAAATAATGGGTGCGTTTGAAATTCGTTATAAAATAATTTTATTTTTTATATGAGAATAGAAATAAAAATGTTTCAATCTCAAATAGAATTATTTTTAAAAATCCGTTTAGTAGTTTTATCAAAAGATTATTTTCAGTATAAAAAAATCAATTAATGTCTCTCTCTACTCGAGAAAGAAGAAAACGGAAACAAAAAATGAAAAACAACTAAAAGTCATTTTTCATTTCTCTCTCATTTTACACTAAACTAAAAAATCGTTTTCATTTCTATTTTTTGTCTTTAATTGTGCTAAACACCGTTTCTCTCTCGTTTTCATTTTTTTTTCTCAAAAAACGTAAAAAATAAAAATAAAAACAACTTCAAACACACTCAGTGCTTTCTATCTAAATAAAAGTGAAGCTAAATATTACGCATTCGTTCATTTTACTAATTTGAGTTTTTAATTTTAAGTTTTTACAGTTAAAAGTTCTCAGAAAATGTCACATTTAACTTTTTCTACTACAGTGAAAAGTTCTAAAAAAATATCACATCTCAACTCGAATTAAAACTCGAATCTACGAAGTAAACGATATACAAGTACTGTTGTTGAAAGTTTGGTCCTAACCAAATATTGTAAATAGCATAAATATACACGAGTTCCATATGGTGCATGCACACTAGATGTATCAATATAGGAACACTTAGCGTAGTTTTTCCATAATGTAGAACTTCAAACTAATCCCGAATTTTAAGATGCGACTTTTGTAGAAAGAGGGGTTGAAGATATACAATTTTCTGCCCCCCAAAAAAAAAAAACACATATTGAAAATATAATGTGAAAAACACATTCCACTGATGGTCAATGGATACTCCTTGATATGCTCCGGCTAAGCCATATTACAATTGCCCCCTTTTGGAGATATAATTTTTTGCACTGAGTTTTTTTAAATATATAAATTGTGGGCCTAATAATTAAGACGGTGTTTATTTCATCACCATTGCCGTTTTCTAATATATTTTGTTATACATATCCATAACTAATATAATCCACATTAAAAGAAGAAATATGCCAATTTTTATCTCAAACCTCTTTTTTTTTTTTCTCCACAAATTTTTCTGGGAAAGATATATATCCACAAATATTACTCACACCAGATTATGGCTAAGTGACTTCTTAGTCATGGTCTCTCAAATGCACCACTCAAACTAATCTCCACGAAGCTTCCCAACCACCCAATAAACGAATGCCACGTCATGGACAATGTTATGCAACTGAAAATGCCAACACAATTAATCATCACAGCTAGGAACCACGCAAAAGGGTCCACAGAAATATGTACAAGTTAATGGTGCTACTAAAACCAAGTTGTGTTCCAATGGAGGTGCAATAATTTCCCAAGTACTTGATGTGAATTTAATTGAAAATAAGATAAAAGCCATAAACTGGAAAGAGAAGAGCTTGTCTTTTCTTTGGCTTTGCGTCTAAAGTGCAGAGAGGAGTAAGTACTTGCAAGAAGCGCTGGCAAGCATTTAGGGACACAGCGATCGACCTCTCCAAATGGCTTGTCCCATTCGCTGTGAGTGCCATCAGATGTGTCAAATTTTTTCTTTTTTTTTGGTTTCATGATCGCACATAATTTCCACCATGAAAACTCATTATGTATGATTATGATGTAATTGAATGCTCTGGTAATCTCCTCTATTCTATTGTGTTTCTCTCTCTTTCTGTTATTTTATTTTTTCCCTCATTTGGATAGTTGGTTCAAATTATGTTAATTTGAACTAACTGAAGAAATTTGAAATTGGTAGTTTAAATTACAAGCCGCGCTAGCGTTTATATGTGCAATTAAAGTATAAATCTGAACTAGAAATAAAATCTAAATTTATGTTTAGATAGGTATGAAAGACGGAGCGAACGAGTTTTTTATTATTGAAAGATGGTTAAAACTGTCCCAAAAAAAGTAACTCTAAATTGGACATTTGAATTGTATAAAGTATATATCATTTCAACTGAGCTAAACTATTTGAATTAGTGAAACAAACGGAGACATCTCAGCCCATTTTTTCATTTTTTGCGTTATGCTCTACCTCCCTTAAGACAAGGCTTTATATCCTAACACAAATTTTTTTGTAGATTATCAACCTTCTTAATATTATAAATTTAAAAATACAATTTCAAAAGTCAAAAACATTGCCAATCTCGCGGTTTTAGAATGAAGACATGGTGCAACTAAGACACGTGCTTTTTGAAGAGGAAAAGCAGGGGAAAAAGACAAGAAGTGTCCATGCAAGTTACATATATAAAGGACTGCCAATGCTTACCAATTGGTATCTTTTCTTTACTTTTTCGCAAAAGTAAAAAAAAAAAAAGAAAAAAAAGAAAGAGAGAGAGAGAGAGAGAGAGAGATTTTTGCTGAACACCATATATACCAGTAGAGTTTTTTAACTAAATATACACCATATATACCAGTAGAGTTTTCTAACTAAAATATACACCATATATACCAATTGTTCACTTTTTTGTTTCTTTTGATATAATTCTAAACAAATAAAAAAAAATTCAAAAGCATGAACCGTACCGTAGAACGTTCAAACAAAAAATAGCCCCATATGATGCCACACACTATGAAAAATAAATAAAAATAAAAATAAAAATCTCTTCTTTAAATAAGCACAATTGCACTGTACCACGTTTTTTTCTTTTCTTTTTCCACATTATATACACACAAACACATAATACACACAATCACATCCAGGAGTGTTAATAACAGAAACAAGAGCACTACCATTACATTTTTTTTTTAAAAAAAAAAATTGCGTGTGTTTGTAGATAAAAACCGTGAGAGAAAAATAAAAAAGTGATGAAGAAGTGCGAGCTCTGCGATTCCCAAGCGAAGATGTACTGCGAATCCGACCGGGCCAGCCTCTGCTGGGACTGCGACGCCCGAGTCCACGGCGCCAACTTCCTCGTCGCCAAACACTCCCGGACTCTGCTCTGCCGTGTCTGTCAATCTCCGACGCCGTGGAACGGCTCGGGCCCCAAACTCAGCCCGACCGTTTCGGTCTGCGAGAGCTGCGTTAACGGCTGCTACGACAACCAATCCAGAAACGACGAAGACCAAGATCATGAAGACGGAGGTGATGATGAGGATGCTCATCGTGAAGATCGTAATATTGACGAAGAAGATGAAGATGATGATAATAGCAGTGATGATGATGATGGTATGGATGAAGAGGATGAAGAGAACCAAGTAGTTCCCTGGTCAAACCCGCCTCCGACGACTCCGGGCTCTTCGAGAAATGAAGAGTGTTCTAAGCACAACAGGTTCTTTACCAGCCAAGCAAGTGTTTCTGATTCGGATACAGCATTTTCTTGGAGAGTATGTTTCTTCTCTAAAACATTAATTAATCTTCTTCGAAATGTTTTTCCATGATTCTATAATCGCTTTCTGGGATTTTTTTTTAAAGTACTCTGACATAGAACCATTTTTCTCATCGAGCAGGGTTGTCGTGGGCGCTAGTAAGCGCTGTTTGGAGATGAATTTGTCTCGCAACGTCAAGTTACTGCAGTGTTATGGTGTTTATATGTGGACAGAGCACCCTGATCGCGCTTGAACCTGCCTTTGCCAATCCCATTTATCAAACGACTTCTCAAATTGAAATGTATGTCTTTTTTCTTTTTTTTTTTCCTTTTTTTCCCGGATAGAACAGTTCCTTTTGGATCTTGGAATTCTGAAGCTGGGCGTGTGGATTCGTTGAAGAAATTCGAGATGAGTACAATTGAGAAATTCTTGGTTTCTGTCTCGTCGGCGCACGGCAAAGGATTCAGATATTGCTGATTTGAGTCTGACTCTTTCTTTCTTTCGTTACTAACTTATAGTGCCTAATCTCCTCCAAATCTTCTTCTTTTGTTCTATTTAACATCATTGTAAATACCAATTTGTATTAGAGATAATCAAGAGGCTATCTTGTTATGTGCGGTCTTAATTTTGCTCAATTTCAAGAGTCTACTTCGTAAATGTAACCTTATAGTGCATAATTTGCCTTACCATTTAGGTTGTTTGCCATAAGGTGGCAATTAGTATGTCGTATTTGTGTTAACTCGTTTATTAATTATGTTAAAAAATATCAATTTAAATACGGTCTGTTTATTAAACGTGTTAAAAATATTAACTTAAATACGACTCATTTATTAATCATGTTAATTGTGTCAACTCGCATAACCAGTTTAAATCAATATATTAAATAAATAATTAATATAATAATGACTTATTTAACATGGTTAAGACATGTTTAACATATTTATTAGTTAATTTATCTTTTTTTTTAAATGAATAAATTTTACCTACAAATATTAAAATTCACATTATTTATATTTAATATGTCATATAAATTCATATGTTATATCACATATCATTATATTACAAGTGACATATATAGTTGATCGTATCAATTCATATTATTTTATGTTAGAAGTTAACCCTAACTTAACTCATTTATTAATCGTATTAATTATGTCAATCTGATTATAATCTAAGAGCCCGTTTAGTTCATGGATTAGAACTATGAGATTAGAATTATTTTTTATTTATGTGTATTTTTTGTAAGAAAAAAATACTGTAACAAATCATAAATTATAATTCGAATCAAAAAATGAATCATCTAACCAAACGAACTGTAAATTTATTTATAATAAATTTAAATATGTTAATTTCATATGAATTTTAAATCGTGTCATCGTATTATTATTCGGATTGGGAGCCTTAATTTGCCATTACAATGCAATTGGCGTGGTTGTAAATTTTCCATTTCCAATGGTCTTCCAGCTTTTCAGGGCATCAAAACTTTTTAATAAGCCAATCAAGAAGCTAAAATGGCTAAACCTGCTTTGCCTCTAACTGAGGAGGAACGCAAAGTGGACCCCATCAGTGACCAGGTGTGAGAGATAGAGAAGTCCAAACCAACTAATGAACAAAATTGTCGAGTAAGAAGAATTCAATGAGCGAGACATTTTGCTCTCCAATGTTAGAGCTCATGAGTGGGGCCTTAACAAACAGATCACCTAGGGGAATGTGAATATGGTCCGTTCGATTCATTAATTTAAATTTTTAATTTAAATTGAGATATGATATTATGTGAGAATTTTTTATTATAATAAAAAAATTAAATATAATTATTTTTTAAAATTTTTTACTGTAATAAAACTTAAATTTTAAATTCGAATCAACGAATTTGTTTACTTGATTTAGGCTTTGACAATTGACCCGGTTAAAACCGGATAGTAAATACCATGGACACTTATTTAAGGGTGGTTTGGTGGTTTTCATTTGTTCTCTTTATGCGCCGCAAGTTTTCGTATGGCAATCTCTTGTTTCTTCAAAACCACCTCTCGATACTTCCGAGCTTTCAACTCTAGCGATATTTACAAATAGCGTATATTTCTGAACGTTAAATTTAATTAAAATTATATTAAAATTATTAGTAAGGGATTTTCTTTATAACAGCTGTATAATTCCTTCATATACTTTTATGCATAACATTGGTAAGAGAAACTTGATGGTTTTGATATTGAAGTTAGACAAAGGTTTCGTTTTTTTTATTCATTTAAATTTTTAGTTTTATATTTTAAAAAATATCACATTTAATTTTTTATGTTATAATTAAAAATTTTTAAAAAATATTACATTTTAATTCAATTTAAAAATTTGAATTCGCGAAATGAATCAGGTCAAAGTCACTCATGGCCACTAGCATATTGTAGTGAGAGCTTGATAGGCTCACCACATATGATCAAGATTAAAGCTTATCTCCATTAAGCTAATTACAAGGGAAAGTGGGTTAAATATCAGTTTGGCAGATCCGACAAAAGCAAGCATATGTATGGCTTCTTTGAGAATCCTATATTTTAAATAAATATCTTGGGATTCCAACCGCACATTTAGCATCAATTTAGTACCTGAATAATAAATTAACAGATTAATAATAGATTAATTTTAGACCATTAGATTATTAAACTTGGGAGGTTTTATGCAACCAGGTACAACTAGGCTGAGAAAGAGAGACAGAATTGATTTCTAATATAGAGTACAAATCAAAATATGGCTATAGAACGCGAAGAATGAAGTGGTGGGGCCGACCTTTTGGACATCCCCACGTGCCCACCATAACTCATGATTTAGTATTTTAATTGCAAGTTGATTGCGGATTGTTAGGAGATTTGATTAAAGTACAAGTTTTGAAGTGAAAAAAAGAAAGCAATGAATCAAAAAAGAATGGGGCTCTTTTTTTTTGTGGTGGGAAATTTTTGCTCGTAGAGGGAGACAATACTTTGTGTGGCTGTGGCATATCCCCTTTGAATTTTTTGAGATGGGAGATATTTTTGTAACCTTTAATTGTTCTTTGGATTCTGTTTCCCCTAATCTGTTCATCTTTTGATCAGGACGAGTTTACAACCACAAAATTAAGCCTCATTTATTTTACCGATTCAGATTTTTAATTATAAATTTTTCCAGTTAAAAATTCTTAAAAAATGTCACATTTTTTTTTTACTACAATTAAAAATTTTCAAAAAAATGTCACATCTCAATTTAAATTAAAACTTTAAATCTGTAAAGTTAACTAGCCATTAATTATTCTTCTCTAGTGCCCTTTGGGTTGTCAAAGCTTCGCCACTTCTTCAACATTTTTCCTATACGTAGAAATACAAAAAATATCTAGGACTTGCTTCTTTTTCAGCTTATTCTCGAGGGGACAGAATGATGGAGATACTATTGACTATTGAGAGGTTAAAGCTTTGAAATTAGAGAAGTTTTATGGCAGAAACTGTGATTTTTCCGGTAAAAATATTTATGTTTAGTTGTAAATTTCTATTGTGGACATTCATTGATCGATCGATTGAAAAACTAATTTAATGAGTTTTTTTTTTTTTTTTTGGAACGGCAATAAAAGCTACAAAAAGGTTAGGATATAATGTAATACTAAAGTCAATAAAAGGGGTGATATTCACATGACTAAATAATATAATTACACCTCTATCACATAAACGGAGAGGATTCCTCCACAAAATGGAACTAAAATAAGGTTCGTTATGTAAAGACGACTCAAGATAAGTCACTTTTTAGTCTAACAATGGATCTAAATCACACAATTTAGTCTTAGAACAGTGGAAAAACCACTCTCTATTTGAGAGACGTACCACAGACATAGAGTGGTGGAGAAATCACTCTCTAACTGAGACGAAACATTTATAGATTAAGTATCGTTATTACAACACAAATATAAACAAAAACTGTAAAAATATTAAAATTCTAAAAAATTAACTTAAGAAGATTGAATCCATCAACGTTAAAAATATGTAAAGACCGGTAAAAATGACTGAGAAAAGACTTCCTCGCCTCCCTCTTTCAACGGTGATAGCAATTCTTATTGAAAAGGTAAAATAAAAATTCCTATTTTATGAATTCCCCTCAAATTGGTCTTAGAAAAACAAAACTTCGTCGTGCATTGCATTTTCCCTTATGTCAGCAAAATAATGTCTTTATTTGGCAAATAAACTGAATGGTTAATCATCACATTACGGGCCGCACTTTGAAAATTTATCCCATTCTTTTGGATCTATTACTTTCCAACTTCAAGTCATCAAATTGGTACATACCTAATCATGAAGTTATGCCTTCAAACTCTTCGTTGTAAGGTCCCATTTGCTTTATGACTTTAAAATCAGTGATTTTAATTTTTTAATTTAAAATTTATAGGAGAATTTTTTTATATAAATTTTTTTAATTTAAAGCTCGTTTATTTTATATACTTAAATTTAAATTATTAATTCTGTTAAAGTATTTTCTCTTATAAAAAATTTAAATTTTAAATGGTAAAATTAAGAATCATAATTTGAATATATCTTTCAAACGTACTCTTAAATTTTTTGTGAGATAAGAGAATTAAAATCATAAGTTCAAGTCAATGAGCCACATTGACTCTAAGTGTTTTAAATGAGTTAATGGCATCCTCGTGAATATCTATCAATTTTTATTAGAGAATTCTATGATATAGTGTGAAAAAATTCTACTAGTGGTATAGAATTTTAATTAGTAAGATCACTTCAGAATAATATTATATTAAGAAAAATATGACAATTTTATAGAACCCAATAGAGATTTGATGATTTAAAATTGTACTTTTTAGATATAACATGATTTTTTTCATATCTTATCATAAATTTCTCCTCATATTTATTTATTTATTTATGTATTTTTTTCACTTTTTCACTTAAAGATGAGTGATAAAGAAATTGAAAAATGATATCATTTAGGCCTCGTTTATTTTACCGATTCGAGTTTTGCTACAGTAAAAGGTTTTCATAAACAGTTACATATAATTTTTGTGCTACAGTAAAAATTTCTCATATAAAATCACATCTCAACTCGAATTAAAAACTCATATCAGCGAACTAAACGGGCCCTAAATTTATAAGTTGACCAACTGAAATAAGAAAATGATCAGGTTCATTGGTTCAAGTTGATTATGATATATTTCACTGCTTGTGAAAGGATAAAGACTGAGTTGATAATTGATTAGGAAGAACATTTTGTGGTGGTACCAAAGTTCAATCCCAATCCGCGGGGTCGTTGTTATCATAACATGACGTGTTCAAATCAGTCCACTGTATTTTTTAGGTTCGTGATCCCATGGATATGTTTGTCTGTCTCATTCCCATTTCAAATGACTTGATTAAAATAGTCATATGAACTTTTTTTTTTTTTTCCTTTTGATTTCTTATTCTTTTTATTCGGTTGAAATATTCACAAGGTTTTAGTGGTTGATTTGAGTCTCAGTAGCCCACTTCTTTGGAATTTTCCGTGATTGCCATGACCAGAAAGTCATTATCTGCATCACTTGATCATAAAATATTATTTTTCACACAGATATAAATGTTCCTTGGTAAGATCAAAAAAAAAAAAAAAAAAGGTGTATCAGAACAGATAAAGATGTAGAGACAAAATTGTGGTCAGAACTCGGAAAGGAGGTAGGATTAATTATTCATCACATTTACTAGGAAGAAACAGATTATCTCGAGGGTTGGGCCTTTTTGGCCACTTCTATCTTTTAGGAAAAAATTACAGATTTTATTTCTTAAATATTTTACTTATTAAAAATACTTTTTAAAAAAAATTATATTTTTTAATTTAAAAAATAAAAATATATGAACTAATATTAAGAAATAAAAATAAAAAAAATTTTATTTTAAAGAGTAGTTTTAAAATTTTCTCTTTTTTCAGGGTCCGTTCACTTCGCTGATTTGAGTTTGTAATTCGAGTTGAGATGTGAATTTATGTGAGAATTTTTTACTGTAACAAAAAAGTTAGATGTGATTATTTATGAGAGCTTTTTACTGTAACAAAACTCGAATTGGTGAAGTGAACGGAGCCTCAATAATCCCAATGGCTTAATCGAAGAAACACAATGAGAATTCTTCGGTGAGATAATATATAAATATATATATATATATATATATCTTACCATAGAGCCTTCGGAATCATCAAAATCTCAAAATCTTTTCCTAGCTTTTATCTTGTATGCTTTTTTAATTTAATGTAATTTTAATTAAATGTAATACACTAATAAAAGTGGTGATCTACAGTAGAAGGCTCCGGAAACAATTTTAGAAAAGATTGATTAAAATATGTATGGTTTCGACTTGGGATTACGCATTATGTTTGGGAAGATTTACAGGAATGCTTATTCAGTAGAGTGATTAAAGATTTATGCCTTTTCTTAATTAATGGTTTATGTATGTGTGCGTGTTAAGGGGTGTGCATCGCTCGTCTAAATTAAGTTGTAAATTACTTTTGAAATCTAGATATTCATGATTCATCTATACCATTCCGGTGTGAAAATTATGAGTATTTTACACATTTGTTCCCTAAATTTGTGTTGTTTATCAACTTGTTCTTAAATTTTTAATTTTGACAAGTTATCTTCTCAACTTATAAAATCATTGCAATGTGCTCCACCTTGATAATAATTGTGTTAAATTAGTGTCAAAAAAGTAAATTTAACAAAAAATTCTAACATCTCAATTCAAATGTACCACAAATCTTTTAACTCTTCAATTTTTAATCACTTAAAGCTAATAAAAAATTTAAGTGAATTTAATAAAATGGAGTATATTGTACCAATTTTACAAATTTGAGAACTTGATTATCATAATTAAAAGTTGGGACAACTTGTTAAACCATGACAAGTTTAGAGGATTATTGTACTAAAAACCTGAAAATTGTTGTTAAATTTTTTCACTAATATACCTTATTTGAATTCCAACTATAAATGGTATTCCTCTAATTCATCTGCATTGTTGGGTATAGATTGGCAAGCAATTAGGCTCGCTAAGGCTGAATATGGATCCAAGTCAGGACATTCAAAAACTGCGAATACAGAAAATTGCCTTCGATGGGAAGTTCTAATTAAGGCAACAAGATTTTTTCTTTTTCTTTTTTGTGCTTGAATAATTAATGCAACAAGTTCTAAAGGAAAGTTTCTTTGTTTGTCTTTTTTTAACCAGTGGATTGTTATTCATTACTGGCGATCACTTTACAGAAACAAGGAACATAAGTTCTATTAGTTGAGGTAATAGTCATTTCTATCATGTTTCTTTTCCAAATGATACTCTACGAACTGTTTAAACCCCATTTATTTTAACGATTTAAATTTTATTATAGTAAAAAGTGATTAAAAACAGTCACATCTAACTTTTTTACTATAATAAAAAAACTCACATAAAATCACATCTCAATTCGAAATAAAAACTCAAATTAACGAACTAAACTGACTCTTAATAACTTTATTTACAGCAAAGAGGGCAAGTGCATTTTTTTTTCCAGAAGGCAAGTGCCCCTTCTTTAAAGAAGTTGGGGATTTCAACCTAATTTAGCAAACACTAAAATACAAACATTAAATCCCAAGGGGTTGGATGGAGTGGTTGTAAGCACCTCCTTAGGTCCCGTTCATTTCACTGATTCGAATTTAAAATTTGAGTTTATTACAATAAAAAAAACTCTAAAAAACAATCACATCTAACTTTTTTAGTACAGTAAAAAACTTACATAAAGTCACATCTCAACTCGAATTAAAAACTCGAATCAACGAACTAAACGAACTCTTAAACTCTCACTAAGAGATAGATTCAAGATTCAAGCCCCGGACCCCAAATCTCAAAGGTGCTTACCGATTAAAAAAAAAAAATCTGATACCAAGCTCGGCACGAGACGATTGCAGCAGCCGCATAGAAAGAGTTTGAGCAAAGGGTGTAGTCCCTAAGAGGGATCGGTCCCTTTGTTGATAGGTCACATTATAGTTGAGAGATAACAAACCAAAAATGTCACGTCATAAATCTTTTTTTTTTTTTTTCCATTTTTTCCCTAACTACAGTACTCTAGTTTAATGTTACCCATCAACATGAGGAACTTGTCCATTTGAGGGACTACAGTCACATACACGTATACAAACATATGAAGTTGCAGCCTAATGTATATAATAAACATAAAAGTTCATAAAAAGAAGAAAGAAAATAACGCATAACTCATCCCCCAAAACGAAAGTAAAGATACGGACCTCATATATACCAGACTTAACGTACAAAAATTACAACACCATCACATTTGAACTAGAAGTATTTGAACTTCCAAACATCTTCAAAACACTCCAGCCCCGTCTGCGTCCATATCTGCGTGGAAAAAAAGAAATAATAAGAGAGAGTTTCTTTTCCTTGTTAAAGTGACGAGAACAAGGAACCAGAAAAGAATGGAATCTGCAAGCCACAAGGCATGTTAGGTAAAAAAAATAAATAAGATACAAAATACCCTGAGTGGGCGAACTTCTCGTCTGTCTAACACGAATCCTTGCGGTTAAGAACATGGCAAAAGAGGTGATTTTACAATAATTCCTAGCCGAATGATAATGGAAGAGAGCTGCTAAAGCGTGGAAAACATTTGACTGAATAGTGAATATTAAAACGACCAGTGGTTGCAAGCATAATCCACAGCCGAGTCCAAATTGAGTTGAAGTTTAGTTCAAAAAAATATGGCAACCACCCATATTTTGTAGAACAACATTTTGGCCTGGGAAAACCTAGTTGTGCCCACAGATGCTAGAATTAGAATGAACCTTTTCTCGTTAAAAGGCGGAAAAGTATTAATAATGAAATAATGCAGAAGAATCCTGCTAAAATGCTAAAACGCAGTCACCGTAACTTCGAAATTACTTCTATCTTTCCAAGTACATTAAGATGTCAATCTATCCCATCCTTGTTAATGCCTTACCTTCCATTCACCGATCAAACAACCAAAAAAGTAGTCATTTTCGGATTTTGTTTGATCTTCATTTAGCAATAAGTACGCATCCCCAGTTAGTAGACCATATCAAGATTAGCACATTACCAAGTTCCCAACTCATATTTCACGTCTGTTTTTAAGGATCCACCTCCACCATCATTATTGCCAATTTGTGAATCTGTAATGTTTATGTTTTAATCTTAGCATCTAGACAATTAATGATGCACATGACATATAATCTATGCAAGACGTGTGTGCATAAGTACTAAATAGTTCTTAAGTACAATATTTGTATTTGAGTTTAAGAAAAACCAAAAACAACAGCTGTAAAAGATACGTTTCTGGAAAAATTCAAAACAAACAAAAAGAGATTACTTCTTATCTCAACCGACCATCCTACTAGCTTTTATGGCATAATGGCAAAAAATGTGATCTAAGCAATTCAAGGGTGCATTCTCTCCATGATATTAAAGTCGCACACAACTTTTATTACATAACCGCCATAATTTCCCCAGTTGAACAAAGATAACGCCCAATTTACATGTATAAAGGCCCATGCTAGGAAATGCGTTACTTCCACGCAAATGACGAAAGTATTTCGAAACAGACAAAATGAAGTAACTCACATGTTCACTTCTGAAAAACAAACATCTCTTTGGAAAATACAAAAGAAAGTGTGCAAACATGAGAAAAGTAATAATCTTTGGTAGTTTTTGGATTCATGGTTCTACTTATAGGCAGAGCGTTAAGCAAGAAGGCAGAAACAAATAACAATCAACTCGCTTTTCTCTAACAAGAGTATTGCTTATAGCTAAAATGTTTATAATTATTATACCCTTTGTTATTTAGCATAAATCCACAAATAATTAGACATTGAACAAAAAGGATCAATAAATTAGACCAAAAAAAAGCATCTTTTGGACTGGAAAAAAAAAAGGAATTTACAAAGAGAAACGAAACCTGTTGATTATGACTTGTCCAAGGAATTTTGCTGTTCTTGAAACTCCGGTTTGCTGGTCTTAACGCCAGCGTTCCCTTCCTTATTAGTATCCTGATCAGCAGACCTGACGACAATAATAGGACAAACACAGTGATGAACGCAGTAATCGCTGACGCTACCGAGCCTCCCTTTGGTGGTCCGCTTGGCGGCGCCGAACCCTCGGCTGCCCATGATGACGGCGCCAAGGCCGAGGCGCTCCACCTCCAAGCAGAGCCGCTCCTTCATGTCGTGGTCCTTCACTATGTGGATCCTGTACGGAATCTGGGCCTTCTCCAGAGGCCCCGCCATGTCATTCGCCTTGGCGGTGGTGAAGGCATCGAAGTCGTCCTCCAGCTTCCTCTGCGTCTCCTCGTCGCTCGCAGCCGTGGCGTCGACGGCGCCCCAGTCGGCGCCGTAGAGGACGCTCGTGGGGCTCACGTGGACGAGAACCACCGCGTCGCCTGGTCGGAGGTAGTTCTGGACCGCCCACCGGACGGCGAACGCGCTCTCGTCGCTCAGGTCCACGGCTATGCCGATCCTGCGCTGGGCCCCACCGGAGGGGAACCGCGGGGAGGAGGGTTGGACGAGGATCGCCGTCGCCGCCGGGAGGTCTGGTTCTGCCCGAATTCTCGGTGATGTCATTGCTTTCTTCTGTTTTGTTTCAATTTTTTATGAAAGATTTTGGTTTGGAGTTGATTTCTATTGGGTTGAGGAGGAGAAAGAAAGGGACAAGGAATTTTGGTTTAGAGTGGTTGGTTTATTGTTGTTCGGAGGAGATGATGGATTAGAACAGTATGATTGAAATTATTTTTGATTTATGTATATTTTTTATGAGAAAAAATATTATAATAAATTATAAATTATGATTCAAATTAAAATATGAATTCTCAATTAAACAACCTCTAAAGTGAAAGTGTGTGTGTATTTGGATAAATTACGAGACTATCTGAATTCTGGTGGATAAATAGCTTTTCTGTCAATCCATTCAAGTTTATAATTTAAATTTTATTATAATAAAATTTTATTTATTTCATCGATTTAAAAGTTTATTTAGTTTACTGATTAAATTTTTAATTCAAGTTAATATATGACTTTATATAATAATTTTTTATTATAAAAATAAAATTAAATATGATTATTTATGAGAATTTTTTATTATAATAAAATTTAAATTTTAAACTCGAATCAGTAAAATAAATAATACTTAAGTTTAGAATTCATGTTTTACTATAATAAAAAGTTCTCATAAACAGTCACATTTAACTTTTTTTGTAACAATAAAAAGCCTTCATATAAAATCACATCTCAACTCGAATTAAAAACTTAAATCAGCGAACTAAACAAGTTTTAAAAAACTCTCACAAACAATTACATCTAATTTTTTTATTACAGTAAAAAACTTTCATATAAAATTTAAGTGACGTTTGGTTGATGGATTCAAAATCATGATTCAAAGTCATTTTCGATTTATGTGTATTTTTTGTGAGAAAAAATACTGTAGCAAATCACGAACCGTGATTCGAATCATTGTATGAATTTAGTAACCAAACAGCCCGTAAATCTCAATTCAAATTAAAAACTTAAGGGTCCGTTTAGTTTATTGATTTAAATTTTTAATTCGAGTTGAAAAGTGACTTTATGTGAAAATTTTTTATTGTATTAAAAAAATTAAATGTGATTATTTTTAAGAATTTTTTATTATAATAAAATTTAAAATTAAAATTTAAATTTGTGAAATTAATGAGGTTTAAATAAATGAACTAAACGGCCCTTTGATGGCGTGACATGTGTGCAGATTGGGATGCTCGTTTGGCAAAAAAACAATAAACAAAAACAAAAATTGAAAAAGTTTGTACGAATTTGCATTGCTGCGCGTGTGCGCGCCAGTGTTGTGATTTAGGCCTGGCGGCTTGGCTGTTGTGATGAGTTGAGTGCGTGTTGGGCAATGAATATGAAGATGGCACGTGGTTCTCCATTGTCGGTAAGTGGATTGCCGAACGACGTGTCGTACCTTGTTACATGACGACATGCATTGCAAACGACACGTTTCGTAATTAGGCAAAATGAGAACAATGTTTTATTTTATACATGTCATGACTCATGACTCATTTTCATCTTGCAAAATTGAAAGAACGACATTTTCCAGCATGCACTGACGACATTCAAGACCAGTCAGCATTTCGCATATATTTTAAAATTTTCAAATATATTTCAAACTTCAAAATACATTAATTCATGGAAACGACTTGTTGGTTTTATTTGGCATAGTAAACAAGTTACATGTCACTTCTTGACAACGAAACGACCATGGATTCCACGACGTCCTAAACAACATATATATGTTCACAAAATTTCCCCTTAAACGACAACATACTTCTAATTCGAAATTGACATGTCGTTTATCAACTGACGACAGTAACTGATAAACGTTCTTCCTGTCTTTTTTGTTATACTAGTGGTACTGGCACGTGCAGTAGCACGTGCTCTTGTTTGAGTGTATGATTGTATACATAATTTTTTTTTTTTTGATAAAATTGTAGACATATTTTTCGTTAAAAGATTTCAGAGAAAATTAATCAGTTAGATATTGTTTTATTTGTCAAAGAACAATAGAATAACGTATTAATTGAATTTAAGATTATTTGTATTGTGCCAACTATCATCAACTAAGAATAAACTATAAAAATACATTCTTAAATTTGTATATATAAGATATAATTGTACTTTTTACAATACAAATATATAAAATTTAAGCTAATTTTCTTTTCCCCGGAGGATCTAATGTTTGTTCTCCTACTGCAGGTATCTCAATTATATATTAACAATCTACATTGGCCTCCTCTAGAGTATTCCAACTTTACCAACCGTGATGTTAGTCCGTTTAGTTCGTTGATTTAAATTTTTAATTTATGTTAAGACATGACTTTATGTGAGAATTTTTTACTGTAATAAAAAAATTAGATGTGACTGTTTCTGAGAGCCGTTTACTATAACAAAACTCAAATTCTAAATTTAAATTGGTGAAATGAACAGAATCATAATATTCTTTCGCACTTATAAATCTCATGTAGTTTTTTATATCTCCGATTGTATTCTGTCATGAAAGAAACAAATAATATAAGATTAATGGGAAGGTAGTTTTTTTTTTTTCCTTTTATTGTACAAAATTCTAAATCATAACTGCCACTAGGATATCAAATTATCACGGAGCATGCAATAAACTGTAAATTTGAAGACATATTAAGTTGCAAAGGAAAGGAAGGTTCCCTTAAAAAAAAAAAAAAAGTGAAGGAAAGTAGTTTTTAGCTTGCTAGCAAACCTATTTGGAAGCTTCTAAACAAGAAAAAGGAATCGGATGTACCTCAAATATAGTAAAAGTATATTGTCTATTAACACACATGAGAACACGGAAGAAAGCAGGGAAACCAAAAAAAAAAAAACATAAAAACAAAAAAAACAAAACAAAAAGGAAAAGCAGGCAGGTTACCTGCGTGCTTAATACTTATCCATAAGATAAGATAAGATAAGAAACGACAGCAAAATCAAAATGATGAAACGACATGTAGTTAGCAAATTATACGTAATAAATTAATCGGAAAACGGAGATGTCGTTTGTTTACAAAAGCCAAACTTTTAAATGCAGCCGACATGCCGTTTATGGCGGCTAAGGAGATTTCTAAAGTAGGAGAGCCAGGCGTCATAGATTCAGATATATCGTGTTCGCCAATTCCCAAATCGATTAAATTTGATTTTGACCTAGCGACTCACAAAGATCTTCGCTCTCGAAATTTCTAGGGTTCTTATCGGTTTTCTGAATTAGGGACTCCTAATCGATCAGAACTCGAGCTTTTTGATCGGTCGAATTAGGGTTTCTTTTGGTATCTGAAAGAGAAGCAGAAGAAAGGAACAGAGATATGCCTCAGAGGCACTCGAAGAACAACAACGACCTTGCGTTCTTCACCTACGATGAGAAGCGAAAGCTGGGATTCGGGACTCAGAAGGAGAGGCTGGGAAAGGACTCCATCAAGCCCTTCGACGCTTGCTGCCTCTGCTTGAAGCCTTTCATCGATCCTATGTCTTGCCAGAAAGGCCATGTCTTCTGCAAGGAATGCATTCTCGAGTGCTTGCTTTCTCAGAAGAAAGATATTCAGAGGTTTATATTTCTCTCACTCACTTACATGGCTTGGTTAAGCAATCAATTGGTTACTTAAATATTTGGTTTTGAATTTTGAGAACACAGAAAAGGGTTCTTCAATATATATAGATTTGTATTCAGTAGTGAAGAATGCTTTTTTTTTTTTTTAATTATTATTTTTGTGTGTGTGTGAAAAAAGGCTTGAGATTGGAGTTTAGATTGGGAAGGAAGTTTAAATATACTATGTACTGATTTCCGTCGGGTTTTTTTTTTTTTTTTTGGGAAGAAAGAAGGGATTGAGATTGAAGTTTGGAAGGAGGTTTAATATGATATGTAGTGTTTTTCTGTCACTGGTTGTTGGGGGACTTGAGATTGAATTTGGAAGGAAGTTTAAGATATCCTTTGTTGATGCAGATAGCAATTCTTCCATTGACAAATTGCACATTTGCATTTTGCACTGAGTATATTAAACTTCCTTCCAAGTTCCCAAGATATTGTCAACTTTACGTAGTTCTGCAAATTTACCTAAGATACTTCGCTCAGCTCCTCTAAGAATGATTCTTAGAAGTTGAAAATAGGTAGTAGGACAAGTGACTTTACCGACCACTTCTGGATTGAAGAACGAGTAAAGCAGAATAACGAAATTGTGGAATTTGATAGTTAACAGAAACGACGTTTACATAAATCATTTTATCTGTCGGGTGTTTGCATCTTTGAACAACATACTAGCTCAATTCTCAGTTTCCTATTCTCTATATATCTAGGTTGCCTTTATTTATTATGTCATTTATAATTCCCGTTAATTCCATACTGAAGGTTCTTTAAATTGGCAGGAAGCTAGCTGCGCATGCTATACAACAGAAGCAAGAGAAGGATGAGGAAGAAGAGAAGTTAATGTTGCAGAAAGCTCGAGAGCTTGATGCATTTGATCAGCAAAACCACGGTGCAGTGCCACAATATAGCGATAGAAACTTGAGCCGAGATAAGAATGGTTTCCATGGGGCAAATAGTGTGAAGGTCACTTCTTATGAAGAGGAAGCACTTCGGACTATGAAAGCATTTTGGTTGCCTTCTGCTACACCGGAAGCTTCTGTTAAAGTAGAGGCTCCCTCCACCAGTACTGTATGTCCGGAAGGGATGGAGAAGCTCAAACTAAAGGCCCTTTTTCCTATTATTTTCACAGAAGACACTAATGACAAGAAGAAATCTTCTTCTCTGGATAAGAGCTTTATTTGTCCTAGCTGCAAAGTTACTCTGACCAACACACTGTCACTTGTGGCCCTTACCTCTTGCGGGCATGTTTACTGTAAGAAGTGTGCCGGCAAGTTTGTGGCGGTTGACAAGGTTTGTCTTGTGTGCAACAAACCATGTAAGGAGAAGAATTTGGTGAACCTGGCTAAAGGAGGGACAGGGTTTGCTGGCCACGGAGATCACCTTGAAGCAACAGAGTTTAAGCATTTGGGGAGTGGTTCAGGTCTGGGCCTGGTTAGACCTGCAATGAAAACTTGAGCTGCAGGGTTTTTTTGCTTCTGCGCTTTACACAAAGTATGCCAAAAACAGAAAATGTTTCGCAATTGGTTTTTTTGTCTCTCTTTTGATATGATTTGAATTGGTTTCACAGCTGTATCAAAATGCTATAAGAAGTTTTACTATAAGATAGACAATTTTAACGCATCCTTAAATACTAGAGCAAGGATGGATTTGGCGTTGCTCAAACAAGTTTTCTGTATCTTAAATATTTTGATCCTTTTGTTTTAGGTGCCCCTCACCTCACTCCTAGTTGGAATTTTCCTTTTTGGGTCAGTTAATGTTGCTTCTTTTTCGCTGGAATATGTTAAAGGTTACGTGAGATCTTCATAGCCGACATCTGTTTATTACATCCATTTAATCACTCCCTACACAAACCAAGTCGTCACCATTTTTTTTTCCCGTCTAGAGAACCCGTCACGCTGGAAAACTCGTTTCATTTACCATTAAAAACTATCACTTTTCCCCTGAATGAACGAATAACACTATTATGTGTGACATCATATTAGCACTATAATCTATATTCTATATTGATTCATCAAATCGCTCTTGTAGTTGAGGCTTGTCCTTCAGTGCACCCCCTTTATTTCTTTTTATGCACATTATGGCATAGTTCACTTCGTGAATTTGAGTTTTCAATTCGAGTTGAGATATGACATTTTTTTAAAATTTCTAACTATAGTAGAAAAAGTTAGATGTGATATTTTCTGAGAGCTTTTTACTATAAAAATTTAAAACTGAAAATTTAAATCGGTGAAATGAGCGAGGCTTATAATTAGAAAATAGGAACAACAATTGACATTTACTAATAACAATATTTTATAGAGATTTTTTTGAAAATAACGGTATTTTCTGCTTACCAATCGTTGAATTTATATTAAATTTAATTAAAAATTAAATTAAATTAAAAAAATAATACAAAATCAACAAAGAATACCAATCTTTTAAAAAAGAGAGAACCAAATTCCCTATTTCATAAGCAAAAACAAATTGACAATAATAATAGAAAAAGGCAACTTTATGCACGTGGGCTGGTTGAGAAATGAGTCAATGAGATGGCCTAATTGGAATAAGAAGCTTATCCAAACAAAATCCACTGAGCCACAACATGTTGATGTTGTCCCCACTCACGGGCTTGGGTCAAACCTCCTCCACGAGAATAAAAAACATGAAAAATTCCGGGAAAAAAAAAAAGAAAAAATAAACAAGCAAATTGGGCAATATAAGTAATTAAGAGGTCATATTTATTTTATCGATTTGAGTTTAAAATTTAAATTTTATTACAGTAAAAAATTTTTAAAAATAATCACATCTAATTTTTTTACTATAATAAAAAATTATCACATAAAATTACATCTCAACTCGAATTAGGTATACAACTCTAGATGGGTTGGCTCCGGGGCTAGTTATACCCCACGGCACGCTGTTCTTTGCCAACCAATTATCCAATCTATTCCTTGTTTAAATTAAGCTAAATATTGATTCGAAAATATTATAATATTATCATTCCCACTAATCCCACCATCTTAAGATATCGACAACTTTATTAGTCAGCCAATCATTCCAATCTTATATTATCTTTTTATCTCCTTGTGACTCGTAAATGTAATCTCCATTATCTGGGGAAAACAAAGATGAAAAACTTTTTTGTTAATTAGGCTTTAGTCTATAGTTTGTTCTAAAATTGTATTGGTCGCGAGCTTTTGACTTTTGAGATAATATCAAAAAATTTCCATCGTAGTTCGCATTATGTTTCGAAAGTTTCGAAAATAATAGAACTTTTCTAATCATACAAAATTTACCTCATATGTTATAGTTGGGAAAATTTTAATAATGCAAAAAAAAAAAAAATCTATACATATAAGAAGCCGTGCATTTGAATGTAATTGCAACAAAGTTTTCAAGTATTCTGTGAGACGATTTTTTTTTTTTTTAAAAGATCACGTGGAACCCTTTTTTTTTTTTTTTTTTTTTTGAAGGAAAACAATATCTTTTGCATATTTTGTTTGAATCTCATATTGAGAATAAATTTCGCGTGATTAGATAAATGGATATTTTTATTTTTTATAAAATGCATGAGATAATTTTATATCTTGTTCACTTTATTGAGTTGAGTTTATAATTCAAGTTTTATTATAATAAAAAATTATCAAAAATAATTATATCTAATTTTTTAATTACAGTAAAAAGCTCTATATAAAGTCACACATCAAATTAGTGAACTAAATAGAAGATCAATTTTTCTCAATTTCACTAAACACAATTTTTAAAAAAAAAATTATTTCTAATTTTTATTCACCATCAATATCATTACGGCGGGAAATTTTTTTTTTTTTCTTGGATGTTTTAAATCAATTGAATAGATGGCTGGGAGTTTTTTTTTTTTTTTTTTATTTAAAAAACGTACGTGGCTGCGTTAAAATTCAAGATTGTTGACTAATTTGGTCTAAGGATTTAGGAAATTAAAGATTTCGTTACGTAATTAGAATCCTACATTTTCTTATGAAGAGCTATTCTTAGCGTCTTCTTCTGAGAAATATTTCTGTTGGGCGGATTAGGATTTGATTACCAAAAAAACCTCTACCGTTAACCGAGTAAAACTAAAACGGCCGGTGGTTAAAATAAAAATCACAAAAATCTCCCTATATTTGATCTGACGTGGCAATTGGTGAGCCGTCTTCAAACCACAATTGGGAAATAAGGTCACGAGTGGGTCCCAACCAGTCTCCATTATTACGCGCCAACCCCACACCAACCTCTTCTCTCTCCGGCAGACAATCGTGTTCACCATTTTTCAAAACCAGAACAACTAATTTTATTTATTTATTAATATACAGTTGGATTCGATTCATTATCATAAAAAGAAGACGCACTACTTGATTAATATTAAAACGAAAGCAGAACCGCACACGAAAAGAAGAGAGAGAGAGAGAGAGAGAAGAGGGAAAAGAAAAGAAAACCCTAGCTTGCTTTTTGTGCGGATTTAATTTGGTAATGGCGGATTTGGAGAAGCAGGAGAAGGCGGCGGCTGCGGCAGAGGGGGAGGCGGCGGCGGAGGAGGAGGAGGAGAGGTTTCTGGAGGGAATGGCGGTGCTGGATTTTGACATGCTCTGCTCGACTGTGGCGTTGCAGACGCAGTGGGGTTGGAGGAAGCTCGACGGAGGGGATGATGAAAATGGAGAAAGTGGGGATTTTGGAGGAGTTCTAAGGATGTGGGAAGGCGAACTTCTCCATTGCTTCGAAGACCGTCGCATCGCCATTGAATCCTCTTGGTTGGTCCTCTCTCTCTCTTTCTTTTTATTTCCAATTATTCTTCATATGCTTTCTTCTTCTTGTTGTTTTTTTCCCCCCCTTTGTTTTTTCCTCTTCAAAAAGACTGCTTTTTGAGATGTACAAAACAATTATTTTCCGGATAAGTATTTTTTGTCAGGGAAAAGCTATTAAATTTTGGGTGTCAAGAGACGGTAGATTACTGGGGACCCGCTATGCGGTTCTAGTTCTGATTTATTTATGCTTGCAGAAACTTTGTCCCCTTTTTTTCCATGAAGTACTCTGTTTTAAGGTTCATTTTTTTTTTTTGGGGGTTATACTTGGAAAAATGAAAGGATGCTTGATTTCTTTCTAAATTAATTAAATTTTATTTGTTCATCTTTGGATATGGAGTCATTGAGCTATTTTCATGGTCAATTTGGGTGGGCCGTTTATGTTCCGTTTGTTTTTTCTTTTTCTCCCTTTTTTTCATTATTTTTTTAAAACTTTTTCAGATTCTAATTTTGTAAGTGTTCTTATTTGCTGATTTGGAGGGATGGGTACTTAATATTATCAGAATTATGGTTCTGTTATTCTGATTGAAGAAGGTTTTCTTCGTTATTGTAGTAGTCGTGTATCCTGCGAACGTATTATGCTTGTTTCCATAACAAACACATTTGATGTTGCAGTTGCCCATGCTACAGATTTGGCAAAAACATGAGACGAGCTGGTTTTAGTTCTTGCTTTTTACAGGTATTATAACATAGGAATATTAGCTGACGAAATAAGAAATAGAAATTCTTTGCTACCAGATGTGTACTTATCCAATTGGACCAATTGGGGTCAGCTCCATGATCTGAATGTTTGTTGTTTCTAATAAAATTGACTTTTCCACAGATAAAACCTCCGACAGGAAATTAAATTCGTTTGTCTAAATTTGCAGGGAACTATTCACTTCATTCTTGTCCTTAGTGCTCTTCTCAACTGCATTGCTTTCATTGTCACCAAGCGGAATTGCTTCTTATATTTGTCAATCGCTTTCACGCTTTCAGTGGGAACGTATCTGGGGTTCTTCCGTACGCAGATGAAAAAGAAATTTAACATTAGAGTGAGCTTTCTTTATATATTGCTCGTCGTGCTTTTATATTGATTGAATCCTATGTTGGTCCCCCGAGATGCTAGATTTTTTTCTTTTACTATTATGACCACTTTAGAGTTTCTGCTTTCCTCCCCTTAATTTTCATGGCTGTTCTTGAATGTTTGTCCCCAACAACAACCGTTATTGAGAGGTGCTGAAAATTTCATAGTTAGTTTTACTGAAATAGAGAAAATAAGTTGAGCTTTGGGAGATTTATTGGTTTGTTGTTGTTGTTGTTTCTTTGAGGGCTTTTTATCCTTTTTCTTTTCGTGTAATAATTCTTCTTCATTAAAAAGATTATTTTGTTTCTTTTTTTTTTAAAAAAAAAAAAAAAGATCTGCATGATGCCTGAACTCGGGGAAAATTCTGTTTTGTTCTTCCATTTACGAGTTTTGTTCTTGTATCAAGACCCTGTATGGCGTAGAATTTTCTTGATGAAAATTTTAATGAGAAACCTCCCCACTTGTTCAGTTTTCTTACTCTTTTCCCCCCCTTATCAGGGTAGTGATAATTCATTGGACGATTGCATCTACCATCTTATCTGTCCGTGCTGCACATTATGTCAGGTAATTTCCTGCAAAATCTATTACATGCCGAACTTAATGACACTTTAATCTAAGAATGAACAGTTTCTCAACTAGTGAAAGCAGATGATAATGTGGTATGCTGGAAACTTATAAGTGGTTAAAATTGGGCAGGAATCGAGAACATTAGAAATGAATAATGTCCAAGATGGCATTTGGCACGGTCGGGGTGATACGATATGCATAGGGAGCGTTGCTGAAGGGAGAAAAGCATTCTATGAGCTACAACCACCTCCTCTTGTTTCACCTATGGTTCCTGATACCTGTAGCATACAAATAACTGCCGAGTCTAATGATCACTCTTCAACTTAAGAAGTTGGACGTTCTAAGAAGTTGTTTCTCATTCCAGAACCAATTGCTGCTACAGCTCCGAATGATATATATTGATTGTTTTTCCTCAAAGGGGAGGGATGTGTATCCGAATCGGTCAAATTTCTCTAGTCCAAGATTGCCTTGGCTAATTGACCTTTGGATTGGTATCTTCAGAGAAAGGAGGGTGATTGGTCTAAAAATGATTTGAAAGAAAATGCTGGGTGGCTAATGTGCTAAGATAAAACATACTTGTATACCTTGGGATTTTAACCGATCCTCTTTCTCTATAGTATGTTTACTGTCAGAACAAGTGATCAATGTTTTTATCTGATACAATGAAATGTATTTATCCACATTCTAACCTCGATTGTGATCTGCCGTTGAAGATCCCCCTCTACTGACCTCATTAGATCCCTTGTATGTACGGTCCACGATGGCTGCCTCTCCCTCTATCTCATCTCTAGTCTTTTATAAGTATTGTATTTTTTTTCAATTAAATATGTTTCGTTGGATTAACTGGCTGAAGTGAGGTGGTTCACGAGGGTGGACCACGAACGGTGATCACTAGGTGTGTACTTTTGTGGGGTGGTAATTTGTGTCACGTGTCGTGTTTGTGTCGTGTTTTGATCGTTTCTTTTTAAAAATCGCAACACAAACATAACACGACCACTTTACAGATTGACACGACACGATACGAAATTATTCGTGATACGAAATTGACCCGTGAATCCGAAATTGACACGAAAATTTTATACTTTTTTTTAGTTTTTTACATATTAGAAATAATTTAAAATTCATAACACTAAAATACAATAACATCTATTGAAACTAAGTAAATAATAGTAAAGATTTTGAGTATAACTATCATGATATCACATAAGTTCATAATAAAATAAAAAATATGTAATGAAAAACATATGAATTTTTTTTGTTATTTATGAGTTTCGTGTCGTGTTCGGGTTAGGCGGGTTTAATCCGAAATTGATCCGTGTTTTTCGTGTCAATTTCAGGTCGATCAAATTCTGACCCGAATCTCTTTTTTCTCAACTCTAACCTGTGAAATTTGTACCGTTTTTGAGTCGTGTTGTCGTGTCGTGACCCATATTGTCGGCTCTAGTATTAAGAAGATGATTTATTTTGAGTTTCAGTGAGAAGGAGAGAACTCTCCCGTCACATAAAAACAGAGAGAGAGCTCTCTTGAGAGGGAGTGATCGACTAATCCAATTAATTAATCTCTTGTGGAAGAGGATGAGGATCTGTTGTGAAAGGGGAGGGGGGAGTTCAGCGGAAGGAAAAACTCCCCCTATTTTGTCCTCCCATAATTCACGCCTTTTTAAACATCCCATCAATTTTCCCTTTCTCCCATTTCAGGACATGGTAGATGTTTGTGTTCGCTCAATATTACTCCTGTGATCTACCGAAAAAAGGAAAAAAAGAAAAAAAAGTCATGTACGAGGAGTTGTTGGACTGGAATATTTCTTTTTACAACTCAAATTTTTATTAATACAGTATTTTTCTTATAAAAAATTTAAATTTAATTTTTTTGTTAGTATTTTTTCTAATATAAAGAACTGAAGTTCTCAATTTAAGTTTGTTCTCAACTTGAGTTTTGAAACAAACATCAATTTGATAACTCTAATGGCATGTTTGGTTGGAAGGAATAGAATGGAAAGGAAACATCATTCTGATAATTCCATTGTTTGGTTGCTTTATTTTGGCTAGGAAAGGCTTTCCGTGGGAAAGCTGATTCACTCAATTTGAGTGAATCCTCATTCAGGTGGGGGGTGGCTTGAATGGCCTTTCCATTCAGCCATTTTATTTTTTTCACCCAATTTGCCCCTCGTCTCCCCTCGTCCCCGATCAAAAGAAAAAGAGCCCTAGCCGCATCTCCCCTCGACCACGACTCTAACTGAGGCCAGCGCAGACACTTGACGGACGGAAGGTCGATCGACTGTTGACGCCGACGACGAGAAATGACCGCAGGTACAATCTTCCCTCTTCTTCCTTCGTGGTTCTTGGAGATCTCTCTGTTCTGGGTTTGTTTTGATTTTTTGAAATCTTCTCTCATTTTCGTTCTGGATCCGTAATCAAATCCCTATTTTCGTTCTCATTTTTTGAAATCTTTTCCTTTTCTCTGTTGGTTTTGGATTTTTCGGAATCTTCTTGCTTCTGCAGAGTCGTTTTCTCTGATTTCTGAAATTTGAGATAATGCAATGGTTCAAATATTGGCTGTTTTGATTATTTGTTTGATTATTTCCTTTTCTCGGTTGATTATTTGTTTTCATGCTCGCTGAAATTTGGCCGTTTTCTCCGATTTCTGGATTTGTGGATTCGATTTTGGATTTTAGTTCGATTTTTATTTCGGATTTGGCTGTCCGATTTCTGGATTTGTGGATTTCAGATTTCTGGATTTCTAGATTCGATTTCTGGATTTGTGGATTCGTTTGAAATGGAGTACACAAGTTATTCTCCAACCATAGAAAAATCAAACAAGTTGTATATACATATACATATATATATATATATAAGCTCGAATCCGAGAGAGATTTGCTGGATTTCTACTTGATTTCTACTTTCCCTTTCTCTCTTTCTTTCTTTCCTTATTTGCTTCGGATTGAATTCGCGAGAAGAAACTGTGATACATGTTATTTGTGATGGCTTTCCACTCGGAAAACGGTAATGTGATTTTGTTATTATTTTTTTGGGTTGAATTTGGATTGATTATTTTGCAGAAGATCAGTTTTGTGTATTTTTGAATATTGGTTTTGCAGAAAGGTGGTTAAGGCTTTTCATCAAGAGAAAAAATACTTGCCTCTCGATCTCCATCCCAAGAGGCCATCCGCAGAAGGCTTACGAAGCACCAGGTAGTCTTTCTTTCCTTGCTTTTATATATTCACGCTTTCTCTTTTGTTTTTATATGCATACTTTTTTCCATATTGTTAGTTGGTGCTACAATGTGATAATTGGTGCTACAATTTAGAAGCCTCTCGCATATGGATGTCGACTTCATACCTTGTTGATGGCATTTCCATAGAAATTGTTATAGCAATGTATTGTTCACTTCATTGCTATTAAGATATGAAAATTTTATGGTGAAGGACATTACATGCATGCACGTCACAATTTTATGGTTAAGGACATTGTTATGTTGTTATGCACGTCCAATATTATTAACTTGCATACCATGTCAACATATAATTTAAATGGTCCTGGGGCATGAATGAACTTCGAAGCAGGTATGGACAGGATTATGCTAATGTTTCATTGTATTAAAATTCAGAGTCACAAGGAAGCGTTACCGTTTAAGACCAAGGCTTTTCCCTACTATGAGGACTTGTGTATGGTTTTCGGCAAAGATCGTGCAACAGGTATGGGTGCCGAGGCTGCTGCTGATGTAATTAAGGAACTTGAAAAAGAATCAACTGATGATATTAATATTGACAATGATTTTTTCAATGACATTCACAATACTACCTTTGTGGATGAAGCGCAGTCAATGTCTTTCTCACAAGCATCTGCTATTCCTCCAACTCAAGCTCAATCTCAAGGGTCGTCAAAAAGAAAAAGGAAGACTACAAAGGACTCGGGGGCTTATGAAGCCATTGAAAGATCATCTGCTTTACTTGCTGGTGTTATTGAAAAGGCAAGTGAACGTTTAAGTCGGGCTATCAGTGAAGACATGACAGAAAAACATAGCCGGATTAGGGATGAGCTACAAAGGACCACAACCATTACCGCACTTGAATGACATAAGGTAGCTCGGATGATGATAAAAGATGATGCTTTAGTTTCTTACTTTTTTAGTATCCCTGGTGATGAAAAAGAGGAGTGGGCTAGAGCTTTGCTTGCCGGTGATATTTAGGAGCCTCCGATTCTTTTGGTATTGTAAGTAATTAGGATTATGCTGCACTTTATTAAATTGTATTAATTAGGAACTTGCTTCACTTAGCATATAACTATATTTTGGAATTATATATGTAGTTGGCGTATGGAGATTCATAACTTGGGCAAAATCTGAATTTAATTATTTATCTGAATTTGTTGCACCCAATTTCGGTTTTGTGTAGTCCAAAAGGAGAGAAATTTGATAATTGAATTCTCAATTTTATTGTTCCAACGTTATTGTATACACTCAATTGTATATATGTAGTTCAATTGATTATATATATATATATATATATAACCGTGGATGTTGCAGGCATAAGTGTGGCAAGTTCAAAACATGTTTTTCATGCTTTACTTGCCACGGTAGGATGTTGCAGGCATAAGTATACTATCTTCGTTTTCACTTTTTTTTTTTGTTTTACCACGGTAGGATTGCAGGCATAAGTGGATGTTGATTTTATGCTTATTTTTATTGACTATAAGTGATATTATGTTATGACTTAGTGATATTATTTACAAGGGATGAGATGTTGATTTTTTTTAAAAATTTATGTATGCATTAATTATTAAGAAACTATAGTGTGACAATATTGCATAAAAATTATATTGACAGGGGTTAAAATTATATTTTTCACAGAACATATAATGGTAGATGTCAAAAGTTATCATATTTAAGCTTGTGATAATTTATTATTACATAAAAATATCAAATATTATTTTTTTTACAATTAAAATATAGTTTTTAAATTACTATCTTTCAAATAAAAAGTTTTTTTCAATAATTAAATTATGTTTTTACTATTTTAATTAATTAAAATATTAAATTATTTAGGATTATTAATCAAGGGTATTTTTGTCAAAATATAATTTTTTTCAATTCCATTCCATTATCAACCAAACAGCATAATCCTCATTCAGGTGTTGATTCCATAACTCCAATCAAACAATGGAATTAGTTTATGATTCCAGCGCATTCCAATTTCATTCCCATTACTATTCCCATTACCATTCTGTCACTGTAATCAAACGCACCCTAACAGAAGCATTACAGGTTGACTACATGATACAAATACTCTCAAAAATTAATTACATTACAAGTAGCAGCATATGTATCGTTGTTTTTTATTACCGGGTGGGAAATGGGAATCCAGTTATTAGTTTCTATTTTATGTATAGAAGGTGAACCTAATCAAAACTTCAGTGAAAGCACGTGCTGACCCAACTTAACTATGCAGTAAAATGTCTATAAATTAATAATCTCGATTAAATAGTAAAATTTTTTGGTTTCGACTTGGACCAAAGTACTAAATTAATAATCTCGCTAAATGCATAAATTAATATTTTTTTTTGAATTCCTTTAGGGCCCAAACAAATGAAAATATAAATCAACAATTAATTAAATACTCAAAATGATAATAAATAACATATAGAATTCATCACATTGAGGACTTTTTTCTTCTAGGTATTAAATTTGAACATTATGTACATCAATTTTATGTCTATGTATGTATGTATTATCATTCTATGTACAATGAGCTTACGTTAATTTTGGGCATGTATAACATTTATTATATATATGATAACTTTTGAAATTCTATATATAAACATGTTAATTATAACTACATCCACTTTTTTAAAATTTATTTATAACTCATACATGAGTTTTAATCAAAAGAATAATACATGTACTCAAATGACACATATTATTAAAATATAAACCTCTTCTTAAATTAATAAGTATTTATTTAACAATAAATTAATAAGTCATTCATTTATCGATAAATTAATAATCTCACTAAAATAATATTTTTTTCTCAGTCCCAACAATATTATTTTACCGAAGTTTTACTGTACGTCTATCTGCATTTGTTCATACGCGGTTAGTAAATGGACTGTCAAATTTCTATTAGATTTTGGCAATATGAATGCTGCACGCGTACTTTTTTATTCTAACTCGATTTTGTATCTGCCTTTGTCACTAGTTGCTACGATTTTTTTTATCCTCTTACATCACCACAAAAAAAAAAAAAAATGAAATTAGCCTCAACAATTTTTTATGATATTGCTAGTCATACTAAAAAGGCTTCGTGATTAAAACGTCCGTGGCGCAAAGTTTTAGTACAACACAAATTTGTGACAAAATTCATCGGAGTCATAAGGTTGTGACTAAAAGTATATTCAATCACACAAAAATGTTGTAACTAAAAGTTCCTGTTTTGTAGTTTTGTAACTAGTAAATTTTTTTTTTCTAATATATAAATATTAATGTAATTGTTTCCAATCATGAAACAGTGTAGTTTAATTTTCTTTTAAAAAAAAGAACAAAATTTTTAGGTAATTAATTACTGCCATTTTTTATTTTCCACAAAATGAAAATGTTACTTATACATAAGGCCTCCATATGTTATTACTTGTGTTTATTAAAAAAAAAAAAAAGTATGTTACTTGCTAGGCTCTAGCTAGTTTATTTTTTCTTAAATAAAATTGTTATCTTTCTATAATTACCTAAGAACAATAACATGCTCTAGTTACCTAAGGAATATATGCTTGACAATATTGCCCTTCCATGGATGCTTAACAATTCATAAAGGGAACTCTATGTTATTCTATTTTGATAATATACTGAGTTTTAACATTAGTTAATTGTCATAAACATTTAAGATTTTATGATATACAGCGTAAATAGGCTCATATTTGTCCTTTGTAAACGGATTAAATTTTGGAGGGAATTTATGCAGATTATTTAATCATTAAAGTTTGAAGGGAAATGCATGATTCTTATCCTTACGTAATTGTATCGAAGCATGTTGGTTAGTTAGGACAAGAATTATTTACTAGCTAAACTCGCCAGTCAAAACCGGGGGGAAAAGTCAACTCGTTTTGTAAGAATGCAAGTAAAACACGTTGGGTAGAAATTAGTAGAAGCACAAACACACACACATAACAAAGATTATTTATATAAATATAATTATGAAATTGAAATGTTTAAGGTTTAATGTTATTATATGGATGTGATGATCATGAAGCAGCGCCTGACTTGACTTGAATGCATATTCATGCATAATAACAACAACGGTCAACGAACTTTTATAATTATATATCAACATGTGTTTCACACACCCCATATTGTCATAATTCTCTAAATTCTTCCAGAATTTTGTTTCTACTCCATTGAATCTTACAACTGGAACTTAAATAATTCAGATGCTAGATCCCTCATAGTCATTTATAAACATCTCTATCCAATGGGAAACATGTATATTATTAATCCAAATTTGCTAGCCTCATATATTTTGATCAATGACGGAATCAAATGTTGAAGATTGAAATAACGATAAATACATTAATTTTCAAGTTCTAATTTTAATGATTTGATATATAGAAGAAGAAGAAAAAAAAAAAAAAAAAGAGAAAAAGGGAAAAAGTTAGACCTTTTTTAG